ATCTGGGTGGGCGCTGGTGGACGGGTATGGATGGGCATTGGGCCCGCGCCGCGCACGATCTCGGCGATCCGTTCGGCAGCGCTGGGGAGAGCGCGTGGTGCTGGACGAGGAGCGGGAGCTGGATCAGGAGAGGGAGATGGAGGACTAGGCAGAGACGGGTCCTGCACCGGGGATCGACGACCGCGCGCTGTGCGCACTGGGGCCGGGTGCGACAGGAGGTGTGAGAGATGAGGTACAGCGGAGCGGATGGGACGTAGCACCGCGCACGCTTAGGGCGGGACGACGGCACGAGATGGCGCGGCCGCGTGCTCCCACGGTAGTGGGGAGGGCGGGGAGCTGTGGGGGAGGAGGATTTGGATTTGGACCTTTGTCGAGTGAGAGGTGGCGCCGGGGGGGTGGACGCGGGGGACGAGATCGAGGCGGGGGGGGAGGACGCAGAAGTGTTGGTGCTGATGGTGAAGGTGGAGGCGATCGAGATTGAGGCAGGACGAGGTGCTGGTGCTGGTGACTACGGTGCGGACGGTGGAAGCGGAGGTCGTCGTCGTCGTCGTCGTGAATGAGGCCGAAGGCAGCGGTTTCCGCACGTTCTGGGTCGACGGATGGGTGCGTGAGCGTGGGCGTGGAGGGTGGCATCGGCGCTGGTGTGTGCGAGGGGTCGTGGATCGTACTTGTCGGCACGGCTGGCGCGCGCTTTTCGGGTTGCCGGAGCTGGGGTGGTGAAAGGCGGGGCGAGGTAGTTGGGGTGCGTGGAGGCTGCGTAGAGAGCTCTGCGCTATCTCCGCATTTCTATCTCCGCCACCACCCCCACCTCGTCCTTGACCGTGGATGGCGTGCTTCCGGCGGACGTTGTGACCGCGGATGGGACGGCGCAGCGCACCGCGCCCATGTAGGGCGCGGCGTAGACGACGGGGCGTGAGCGTCGTGCGTGCGCGCTCTCTTTTGTTATCGACACGATGGGGCGTCCGCGACGCGTCGGCGGAGGGCCGTCGTGAGCGTCGCCAGTGGAGGGGAGGAAATGATGCGGGCAGGGCGGTCGCTGTAGCGTAATTTTCGCGTCGTGCTCCGAATTGGCTGCGCGTCGGGGTGGTGAATGGTGTGGGTGGGGGTCGCGGACGGCAGCGATGCGTCCGTCGCCTTTGCGGGGGGCGGAGGGGGTGGCTGGCGCGAGTCGCGTCGGGCGACATGACGATTGTCATCTGGGGAGCGGCGTGCTTCCAGGAGTACCACCGGCGCTTTTCCCGAAGCTCGGCATTGTAGCGGTCCTTGGAGCGCGTGGTGCGGTGGGTGTCGTGCGCCGCGCCTCCCTTCTGCCCGAATCGCGGGGTTCCCGCGTCGTGCGGTGGCGATCCGTCGCCTCGAATTGTCGCACTTCGGGTGGGGAATGTCGTGGAAGGTGGCGTGGTGGCCGCGGAAGGGAGTGATGCGTCCATCGCGTTGCGGGAGGCGGAGATAGTGGTCGGCGCGCTTCCCCCATGCTCGGGATTGTGGGCCGTGCCGGAGGAGCTGGCGGTGCTAGTGGCGGCGGGGCCTGTGCGCGCAGCTCGTATGCGCTGCACCAGGTTTTGGTGAGGTTCGCGCGGCACTGGCCCAGTATCCTTACTCCCCCGCACACTCGCGGTCGGCGTCTGTCTGTGTATGATGCAACTCGTGCCTTTCTGCAGAGCCTCAGATGTTTTGGGGAGAATATAATCGGGTTTCGCATGTTCTAACGTCGTGATATTCGTAACTGGTGACTCTTCAAGTTGACTTGCAAGTTCCATGCGTCCTATTATCGTGGGTTCATTGGACCTCAGCGAAACGATATTCCTCGAAGAACATTCACAAATAGTCGTTGTTAGGACACAGGACAGATGAATTCACGGCTTCTTCCCGCCGATATTCTGTTCTTTTGTTGAGAGATAGAAGAAAATTTGGTTTGACTACTGCCCAATGAAATAAATGTGTTACTTTCGGGACACGAATCATGAAGCGGAAGTATTGAGCGAAAGGTGTATAGGACAGAAGAAACGGCTGCGTAATTCAAGTAGCTTATTTTTTTGTGTTCATAGCGAACTCGCGTTAGGCTGAGCGCCAAGGTAAGTATTTTATTGAAAATAAATGCACGCAGAAATTGGATTCGCTTAATACCAGATGCTCACATGGGCACTTATTACACCGCAAGCTGCTGCCACGGAGAGGATGGTCAATGATGTCCAGAACGCGGGCGGTTGTCCTTGCATAACTTCACACTCAGCTTTCGGCAACTGAAATTCGCCAGGCGCAAACCTGTGGTGGGTAAAAGAAATATATATTGCGGTAGCGGCGGAGGTTCGTTGAGTTCGATAGTAGTTAGGCCCGAGTAGCACATGGAGTGCGCCCACAGCCAAAGCATGCTTGTTTGAACGCAGTGTGAATGGAAGTGTCGGCTAAGCACTGAGGGTCAGAGTGCGAGATGAAAAATGGACGACAGAGCTGTTGCGGAGTTCAATATCCCTCCATGGTAAAAATACGCAGCGACCTTCGGGATTACATTTCAGCATTCGGGAATTGAGTGGATATGGCGACGGTGAAAGAAAGGAAAGAGACCGATTCTCTACAGAGGCATGGCATGTTAGAAACTAAAGCGTTCGAAATGAACCAGAAAGAAACTCGCCTATGGACTCGATCTGCAATCGCGTCGTCCTTCATTTTCATCAAAGTGGCCCAATTCGGCAATCCGAAGACGGTGCAGTTCATCCCAAACTTTGCGTTTCGCAGAGAGCTGTGCGGTGCGCATAGCATCCTCGCAGTGGGAGCAAACATCGAAATCCTCGTCCCAAACCTCTACAGTCCAGATTTTGAAGGGGAGATAGCCGTCCTGGCGCCATTCTTCTGCCCTACGGCGCATATAGAGCTTCTCCTCGACGCACTTAATCTGTGTCAAGCATCCTTCGATGATGGGGGGATTCCAGAGAAATGCGACCACATCCGCAGCGTAGTTGTCAAGACGCCGCAACGACCTAGTAAAGAGGCATCTGTCGGATTCGGGCATTCCTTCCATCAGATCGTCGTACAGCGAAAAGTCGTCCGTGGCCAGCATTTTGCATGCGGCATACAATGCGCACGGGAGGAGCCAGTCAGCCGAGATCTCCCGAGCCACATTGATGAGAAGGAATATGATCTCAGGGCTTTCCAGAATAAGACTCTTATCCTCGTAGACATCAAGGGACAAAGGGATCCTTTCTAAAAGGTGAACCAGAGCGCATTTACGAAGCGGGCCCACCTGGTACATGTGACTGAGCTTAAGCACACCAGTCAGGACATCGAAGTCGACTTTCGATGGATACGGCTCAAATAAGCTTGCGAAGAATAAGTACATTTCGGTGAGCCTGTGATTCGTCCTCCAGACGCAGAAGACCTACCTGTAATCGAACAAGGCCTGTAGGAAGTAGGTTACCTAGATCGGCGAGTCAGGTAGGCGCATAACAGGACACCCATCGAGCGTTTCTCCGTTCTCGGGTGTAGGGAATCCTAGCATGTCCCGGAATACGAGTGAGCGCATCGCCAAGCCATCGCTCGAAACAGTCGGAAACACGGTAGATGCAGTCGCCAGCCCGTATGACAAGTCCGCAGTCTTTGAACCACAGTTCTTCGATTCGTACCGGGGGCCTTTCCGATTGCATTGAGAAATTAGAGAGTAGTGATGGGGGTGGTGAATAAAGCGAAGTTTCATCCAAGAGGTTCCGAGGATCCTTATCGGGCACACTGATGAACACACGTGACCCAACTGATGGGACCGCTAGAAAAATGCAAAGAATGTGAAATAAATTGATTTAAAGCCTTCAATGGCCTTCGGGACAATGGAAAAGGTTGATTATAAGCTCAGAGTATTTAATTTGAGGATATACATGAGCGAGAATGGTTCGGCACCGCCGGCATCCCGGATTTATGTCCCGATTTGGGGGTTGGATGGTCCCGGCACGTGCGTCCATCAGTGTGCCCGATAAGGATCGGAGACCCTTGGTTTCATCAGTGATGGACATGCGGAGATTCAATTCTCGGCATCTTAATGCCGCGCGGAAAAATAATAACATGAAGGATTCAACTGGAAAGGTGGAGGGATTGGATCTCCCGTAAATGGTTTGAAAGGCGGCGCTAAAGCAGAACTCGCCAACCAGCAATGAGATCATCCCAGCAAGGGCTTCCAGTGGGAACAACCCACGATTGCGAACTACAATGATAAGTTTTTTTTGGTTGAAGAAGACTGCATTTTATAAGACTTACTTCCCCAGATGGTCCATGAACTCGAATTTTTAGACCTGTCCGTGCACCTGCGGTACCGGAAAAATTCCGGAACCTCAACGGAAGAACGGAGGGAGTTTTGTACCAGTGTTTAATTTGTTGCACGGTATATAGGTTCAATTTCAATTAGCGGATGTGCACATGTATGTAAAAGGTTTCGACACACCAGGCATTGAGGGCCAATGCTACGCATGGCAGGGCGAGTCTTTTCTTCAAGTAATGTCTATTGTTATATGCCTTTAATTATTTTTTTTCACTGCATGATGACTGCTCCCCGGCCCTTTGATGCAAATCTAACGGATAAAGGTGGGAAGGCCGTCAAGCGGAACAGGCCGCTACCTGGGCATCTAACCCATTCAGATTTCTGCTAAATACATATGCCGTCGAAGTGGCCCCCATACATCCAGCTGAATTGTTGTCGACTTTTTAGTACTTGAAGTGTCTACCCAGCAGATTTACGATATCAGATTTTTTTCGGTTGGATTGCCAGAAAACTGAGTGGAAGAGGTTGTGGGCATGCATTCTTTTCTTTCTTTACTTGGTTAAATGTTTCTGAATTTTGGTCTTGGCTATCATTGCATAGACGTATTGAAGATCGGGAGCCCGGCCCGCATGATCGGGCGATTCATCACCTTGACCGGTGTGTTGAATAGGGCATATAGAGGCTTGTTTGTGGACATGAGGATGAATGAGATCAGAAAATAAAATAAAAAATACAGAAAACGCAATTGCTTTGATGATGCCCTCGGGAGGATTCGAACCTCCGCCCCACGGGAGGCGTGCGACCACATTAAGTGCTGTGAGTGATTTGCCACTTAATCGACGGGGGCTTTATACCTTTCCAATAAGCTTCGGTATGGCTGCACATAGATCAGCCAGAATAACAGTCCCGCTCAAGTCTCGGTGTGGCATGCCCACCGGAAGGATTCAATTTCCTTCGTGCTGAGGGTAAGATCTGCGGATCTAAGGAAATTATACTGGGTAGCGCAATGGCTTCCGGAGGAGTCGGCACGCCTCCGTCTTCCGCTAGAACAGTCGTCACTGACTTTGTAAAGGGGCCGATAGAAACCAAAAACATTCAGGCTTGGAATGCCGCAAGAAGAATTGCTGTTGTGCCCAGATATTTTTAAAATTCAAAAAATGTCGAGCACCACGTTTGGACTGTACCCCACCGCTTCTGTGTAGGAAGAAAAAAAGGCGAAAAAGAAAAAGTGTCGATCATTGCCCATCGATGCCCTCGGGTCCCACGGGACCCATGCGTAATGCAAGGTGTCAGGTGCTGTGGATCATTTGCCATTAATCTTACGAATTCGAAGGCTTTCTACCTTTTGAATAAACCTTTGATATGGCCTCCTCTAGACCCAAAAAAAGAAAGTTCAAATTATCACACGCTCAGAAAAAATCCGTATCTCTGGTGCTGTATTTCCTTCCACAGGAATGTGGGGTTTTAAAAATCAGCAACCATGACTTCCCTGTATGTAGGAAGAAAAAGGACGTCCAATATCGCTTCATGCTCTTGGGAGGAGTCGAACCTCCGTCTCCCACAGTCGCTCGAGAATGCGCACGTTTAAGTAAGGTGGGCGATTTACCAGTTAATCAACACAGGCTTCGAACATTTTCGAATGAACCTTGATATTGCCTCATCTGAAGCTGCGAGGGTCAAAAAAGTCTTTCCTCCCGTTATCTACCCCCTCGGGAGGATTCGAACCTCCGTCTCCCACAGTCACACTACACTTTAACCAAGTGAGGTGGGAGATTTCCATTTAATCAACAAGGGCATTATACACTCTGAATGAACCTTGGTATTGCTTCATCTCATGCTGACATAAGGTTTTATAAAAAAACGTCATTCCGGGGCCATTTATGCCCTCAGCCTCAGGAGGATTCCAAGCTCCCATAGTGCAACCGGAATATTCATACTCCGACTATGCGAAGTGGGTGATTTACCATTCAATCAACGAAGGCTTTATACCGTTTGAATGAACCTTGATATGGCCACCATTTGATTACATCTGCGAGAAAGAAAACTCGTTCAAGTTCGACACACGCTCAGAAAGTTCCGTCTCTGTGGACAATTGGCTCAGGGGAGTTGGTGATTCACCATTAATTAACGTGGACTTTATCCCTCTTCAATGAACCGTGATGTATCCCCCGTCTGGATCTGAGAAAAGAAGGATTTTTCCTGTTCACACAGGCTCAAAAAAAATCCGTATCTCGTGGGTCCACATCTCCGGACTTTCGAATAATATGCGCTTAGAAAATGAACAATCGTGGACTTCACTGTTTCCATGTAAGAAGATTCAGGAAAAAAGATCCCACTACCATGTCATGCCCTCGGTAGGAGTCGAACCTCTATCTCCCATTGCTGATGGCGATTTACCATTCCTTCAACAAGGGCTTTACACCCTTTCGATGACATTTGATATTGCTTCAACTGGATCTGCCAAAAAATAGAGCCGTCAGGTGCGGCATTCCCTAAAGAAGATTTTAACGTTCAACCTCGGACATTGGATATTCTTATACTGATGAACCAAACAATTTTCGACCATCTCATGCACTTCAAAGCGCGGCGATGAGAACACATTGATGATAGATGATGGTCAGAGACAAGGTGTGCGTGTCACACTGTCAAATGCAAAATTTCAGGAGCCCTGTAAATGCAGCCTAATTTTGTAATTTCAGAAACAACATTACAGCTAATGGCAGTACCGAAGGTGCCGCGAAAAAAATTACTGTTTTGGAAGATTTTGATCGCATTCAAAGAACAGCTCATAACTCGATAAGTTCTGCATGTATTGGTATAGAAAGTCGATATAATTAATGGGCTAATTCATATGCAAGTAGTGATAGAGCTAAATCAGTAAAAACATTATATTTTTGGGTGTCCTGAGCAACCGTGATTTTTGAGTGAGAATTTGGGCTAGCATGCCCAGATTACATCCAAATCAGCTGGAATTTTGGGAGGGAGTGTTTATGACTACTCCCATCAATACCATAGAGATCACAGCGAAGGTCAGTTGAACACTGACGCAAAATTGAACTGACACATGATTGACGCAGACTGACGTTGCATGCGTCAAACGTCAGTGCTGCGTCAAAATCCCTTTGCCGAGCATTGCGTGTTTTCTTGTCGTTAAACCAATTCCTAACCATCCTCGCGGACGAAAGGTGGGTGCCGAATCGGCGAATCAGCTTATCCTTGTATTCTGTGAGGCACAACTCCGGAACCTTGTGCGCACATCCAGTTACTAATACATTATGAACAAGACTAGGGATCAGCGGACGTATACTATCAGACCGATAGATTTATCGATTCTCAGCATATGGCGGCAACTCGCCGATGCCTGGAGTCAATTGCAACCCCCTTTCTGTGTCTGCTAGCACATTTGCTCGTCCGTAGTTCCGCTCCAAAACCTGAATCGCATGCATTTGTTCTCTCTTCATCGTTGATAGTCTGCGCTGAGAATTTGAGATCGTCTCGGATGGGGAAGTGGATGGATTCCATGCGTGTTGGGGATGTGAACTGCCCTCGGATGTGAGGGCGAATGGATTCGAACCGGCTTGAGAGCTTGAACCGGCTTCAGGTATGGAGGCAGGGGGATTCGCTACCATGCTCGGCCACCCTGCCGTCGAAAGATCTTCATGCTGTTGCACCAGAGGTTGAACGTACCCATACATGGTGCCCAGCGGCTGACCAGGCAGCGAAACGAAATTCCCTATGTCTGGCTGATGTTGATGAATAGCCATAACTTCCTCTGACGCTCCGTCGAATGATTCCTTGCGATAGGAGGCTGAGGCGTTGGCTCCAGAGAAGGTGTCATGGGCGGCGCCAGTATTTTTTCGTCGGCAGAGTGTAAGGTACTCCTGCGGCTTTTGCTTTTGCATCTACGCCGACACCATACGGAGACCAATGCAAGGAGGCCGATCAGGACTCCTCCTCCAACCGCAATCCCCACGATGGCTGGCGTTGAGATGCTCACATGACCTTTCGCATTGGGCTCAGGATCAATCCCATCGCCGGTTTGAGAGGGCCCAGGATTAATCCCATTGCCGGTTTGAGAGGGCCCAGGATTAATCTCATCGCCGGTTTGAGAGGGCTCGGGATTAATCCCATCGCCGCTTAGAGAGGGCCTAGAATCGGGCCCATCACCAGACCTGCAAGAACGAATTTTTAGTTCCTCAACGACGAGAAATGAAAACCCTAGAGAAGGATTACTGACGTGTAAATGGCATAATCAAAATGGAACCAGCCCTCAGCGACCGTTTGTGCTCGGAACGTGTGGTATCCTGCACGTATCCCGGGGTTCGCATATACCAGGAGGTTGTACAGAGAGATTGGGGTCCTTAGAGCAGTTACACCTGGGACGCTAATGCCATCCAGCGAAAACTCCCATTGTTGAGCCGGCAGGGCATTAAAGTCCGAAACTTCGAAGAAACCCGGAGAGGCGAAGAAAACGTAGAGAGCGCTACCTATTGGGTGGTCTCAATAAATTCCTTTCCGTGATTTATATTAATAATCTTCGTACCAGTGAAATTGAATGTCATGGATCCGGGGGGGTCGATATTGTCATTCGGTCGAATAACCATGGTCTGCGTACGCTGGACTAGCGATGAGGTGTCAAAGAACGATTCTAGGGTCGATTTATAACCCTCAGCAGCCCCTGAAAGGTATAAAACCGTAGGATCGAAATCATCGAGAGTATGGTTCGTGAGTTCCGCCATCGTGACGATCGTCAGGGTCAAAGTGGACAGGAGGCCCAGGAAGAGGACGTTCATGCGGTTCCCGTTGGTCTCAGAGCGTGGGCGGAGGGAGGAAAAAAGCACCCGATTGTGGGGAATTGGAAAACTGCGGCAGAACTCATCTTTCATCTGACAGATTGTCAGTGCCAAGGCATTTTTCGAGAAAGAGTTATTTATGTGGTTCGTGATGAGTTAAAGTTATTTGTGTCAAGTGCTAGAGCCTTCGAGGCGTGATCTTGATTGTTTTTTGAGACTTTTCCCGTCGAGTTGAGGAATGCAAACTACTCGGTCTATCGGCAACTCGCACAAAGGATAAAATTTGATATGTGCGCAGAGCGTTGAGTTTGCATTCCTCAACTCGACGGCAAAAGTCTCAAAAAACAATCAAGATCACGCCTCGAAGGCTCTAGCACTTGACACAAATAACTTTAACTCATCACGAACCACATAAATAACTTTTTCTCGAAAAATGCCCTGGCACTGACAATCTGTCAGATGAAAGATGAGTTGTGCCACAGTTTCTCATTCCCTACAATCGGGTGCTTTTGTCCTCCCTCCCTCCGCCCACGCTCTGAGACCAACGGGAACCGCATGAACGTCCTCTTCCTGGGCCTCCTGTCCACTTTGACCCTGACGATCGTCACGATGGCGGAACTCACGAACCATACTCTCGATGATTTCGATCCTACGGTTTTATACCTTTCAGGGGCTGCTGAGGGTTATAAATCGACCCTAGAATCGTTCTTTGACACCTCGTCGCTAGTCCAGCGTACGCAGACCATGGTTATTCGACCAAGTGACAATATCGACCCCCCCGGATCCATGACATTCAATTTCACTGGTACGAAGATTATTAATATAAATCACGGAAAGGAATTTATTGAGACCACCCAATAGGTAGCGCTCTCTACGTTTTCTTCGCCTCTCCGGGTTTCTTCGAAGTTTCGGACTTTAATGCCCTGCCGGCTCAACAATGGGAGTTTTCGCTGGATGGCGTTAGCGTCCAAGGTGTAACTGCTCTAAGGACCCCAATCTCTTTGTACAACCTCCTGGTATATGCGAACCCCGGGATACGTGCAGGACACCACAC